TTTTTTTTTTTTTTTTTTTTTTGGTTCTTCTTCTTCTTTTTCTTGTTGTCCTTAGTCGGTTTAACGTCTGAGTGCCTCCAAAGCTTATTTTGGGTCGCTCACTTGTCGGTTACTTGCCATTTTTTGCGTGACGGACGTATGAGTGCAAATCTTATTTTTGGGGGGAAGAGGGGGGGGGGGGGTTGTTGGTGTCAGGGAAGAGAAAACTTTGCGTTTCTGCATCGTTTTTTTTTTATTGCAGCGAATGAGACGCGGCCGGGGACCTCACAATTCAACCCGGCAAACGTACTGGGGTCATTAGCCAGCTTCGGCTGGTGCGGGAAACCGGGTCCAGCGTCTCATTTCAAACTGATTCCTTTTCCAAAACCTTTTATTTTTTGTTTTTTTTTTGTTTTTTTTTTCCCCCCAAGGGCGACGGCCTTGAGAAGTGGAGATATCTCCCGAAAAAAAAAAAGAAAAAAAAAGAAAAAAGAAGTGGAGATATCATCATCAAACTGACCGGCCCTAGGTAATTCAGAATTGTTGTATTTTACTCGTCTGCTTCCAGGTGGAGCTCGAACTCAGGTCTCTATTTCAGCAGATCGAGGGTGGAACGACTGAGCTACGCCAGTTAGTTTTTCCAAAAACTTCAACCATAAAGCTCCGGCAAAAATTGCCAGATGCAGCGTACCAACTGGCCAAGCTCAGTTGGTCCACCCCTGAATTGTTGACATACAGACCTTAGCTCGAACTCTACAATATACAGACCTGAGCTCGAACTCCCGGGGAAGCAGATGAGTAAAATTTTACAATTCTGAATTACCTAGGGCCGGTCAGTTCTATGATGACATCTCAAGGTCGTCGCCTTTATTTCAAAAAAAAAAAAAAAAAAACCCAGGTAAACAGTCAGCTACAAAGGGAGAGTCTGCCTGGATGACATCTCAAAGGCACACACACACACACACACACACACACACACACACACACACACACACACACACACACACACACACACACACATTCCGGTGACACAATCACCTGGCACGCGCGTATAGTGCACGGCCCCGACTTCCATGAAGGGTTGCACGCTTATGGGCATCCCATCCCATAATGCGTCGCCATGACGGCTGATCATGTGATCTCTCATGATTAAGTGTTTTTTTTTTTTTGTGTGTGTGTGTGTGTGTGCGCTATAAATGGATGAATTGGATTAAAAGCTCGGAGACTAAGCTGGTAACTGGCTGTGAGCAGTAGAGGATGCATGTACCGTCTAGCTCAATTCACGCATGAAGTTATTTGCAGCAATTTTGGTCAAATCTGATAAATTTGTTGCCCGGTGGTCTTAGTGCGATGGGCAGGAACTGGGAGAAAGGATCTGGAGGCTGTCGTGCTCTTATCTCAGAAAACGTGTACCTGCTGAAGAGTAAGAGGCTAATCCCCTTAGGAGGCGTTATTTGGGCTAGTGTTGGCTGAATAGTACACACTTATTAACTATTCACAAACAGATTCGGAGTTCAAAACTCTGCTGGGGCTAATCCCCTTAGGAAAAAAAAGGAGAGGGGCATTAGTCAAGGTGAACTTGCCTTTGGGAAACTAGCAGCTACGTTGTGACATGTCCTTTTGCACTGGTGCATGCAGGCCCACATGGGAGTATGGACAGTATGACGGTGACGAGGAGACAAGGCAACAGGTGTTACGGAGAGCAGTTGAGCTAGGCGCCGATTTTATTGATGTGGAGTTGCAGGTTAGATTGCTGCCCTGGTCTTCGCGTGTGTGCGTGTGTGAGTGCGTGTGTGTGTGTGTGTGTGTGTGTGTGTGTGTGTGTGTTAAATTTTCCACACAACAGCCTGAATTCCAGTCAGATGAGTAGAATCAGAATCGAAGCAGCTTTTGTCCTATTGCAGACCATGAGAGCACTTGAGTTGAGACAGTTCAACATTTAAGCAATTTTACAATTAGACAGTGTTTTGGTTATCGTTGGGGTACCCCTTCCATTTGTTCTTGCAGCTCCCCTTTTACTATGCCTCGCACGGACAAGGCTGCCCACGAGCAGAGCGCGTGCGCGCGCATGTGTATGTGTGTGTGTGTGTGTGTGTGTGTGTGTGTGTGTGTGTGTGTGTGTGAGAATGGAATTTCAGTACCTGGTCCTGAGCTCTGTGTTAGACGACCCTGTCTGCTGTCTTTTCCCTACCATCTTTTTTCCTTTTTCGTTCCGTTTTTCAGAAATGTAGATTTTCGGATATGACTCCTTCCTATTGTGTTGATCATGACCCCTGTTTACCCCCCAATGGTAGGTTGGCGGGTAGGTTTATAAAACAACGTATAAGAAGTTCTTTTGAAAAATTTTCCTGGGCCTTTTGGCCAAGTAAGATCACGTGTAGTATCTGTTCTGGTCAGTTTAATATCTGATCCGTGGTCCATTGGGATTCGGGCCACATAAAAAAGTACAATTTCGCCAAACCCCTTTAAACCACCAGTCTGTCCAAACCCCCTTTTGATTACCTGGACTGCTGTAGCACACCCAAAAAAAAGGGAAACGACATAGGCACGATATGTTTTCTTTATGCCCGGCGCCACCAGACATTTTTTGTCTGGTAGACTGAGCCCCTGTTAATGCGGCGGGTTAACCGCTGCGTCAAAACAACATAGCTGGGAAAGGCACTGGTGGTTTGAAAAAGGCCCGGGCCCGGAGACATGGCTCCTCCTGCGCTGGCCAAACGCGTGTGATAAGCTCAGACCCGTACCACGCGGCTTGCCGTATCCCTGAGGAAAAATCCCGCGGAAGCCCCGAAGTACGGACGCGGACAAAAAGGGGGTTTTTCTTTCTCTTTGCTTTTGTCTTCTTTTTGAAACGGCTTTTTTTCATTTTGTTTGGTTAATAACTCCCGCGCGGGCGAATAGTGGCCACGGTATGAAAACCAAGAAACGGGTGCGGTTGGGACTTTTTGAATTTTTGCGCGCGCACGCCTAAGCTCCGATTTCTTCGCGCGTCTCGCACCCCCGTTTCTTGCTTTGCATCCCCGCGCCATCTTCCTTTCTTGCTGTGCGCGGTTTCCTCAGGCCGGACTCTTCGTCTTCCCCTACGCCCAGCTTGATCCTTACCCCGTCTTCCTCCACGAAGTGATTGGCTGCGTAGTTGGGATGCTCGGATCAAGGTGAAGAGCGGGAAACCGCGCCCTTGAACGAACACCCCAATCACGTAGGACCATGCAACCCCGCGGGTCGAACCCTCTAGCTCCCCACCGTTCTTCTGTCCTGCTCATCTACACCCTGCGCTGCCCGCACCTCGCGCTGACAACCCGCCGCCTCCCGCGCTAGAAATTAGCGCAACCCTCTCCTCTCCTCCTCTTTGATCTCGGCTGCAATGCTGCGCGAGCTATGCGCGAAAGTCCGTGGCGCCGAACAGGCTCGACGAGCCCAAGGACGGGCGGAGTGACGACGTGGGTTGGACCCGCGGTAGTCTCGGGGCGAAGCAGTCGGAGGGACTGAGCAGTGGTGGGGATTGGACGTCGACCGCGGCAGGGCCTTGTGGCTATGGTGGTCGGTGGTCTTGGGAGATTTGAAGGCTGCGCCTGGGGGCGGCAGTTAATTGAAATTTTTGTGTACAAGAAGGACTCGCTTTTATCTCCATTGCTGCTTTGTCTATGCATGTCGTGTGTGTGAAGCCCCGAGTGATGGGAGCTGGTTGTGCGCATGAGTGATGTGGAAGGTCTATGGATGATTAGATGTCTTGTCAAGGGTTGTTGATTGCATGCCTGTATGTGTGTATGTACTTATCCGGGCGGGGACGGGGGAACGGAAGTGGAGGACCGTCTGCTTAGGAGTATGAGTGTGTTGATCCTGTTGTTCCCCTCCCCTCCGCGGCCTTTCCTGCGCGCACGCACAGTCTCGGTGTAACTCACTCTCTCTCTCTCTCTATCGCCTTTCTTTTTGAACTGATAGTCATCGCTTTTGGAACTTCTCGTCCCTGCACCGGTGACGCCAACCGCCTGCGTCCGCGCATGCGGTCGACGCCCCCGCAAGGGGAAGAGCTTAGATTTCGTCATCTTCCCCCGACACACCCACTTTTGAGAGAAGAGAGTTGCGTCGAGTGTTGTATGGAGCCGGTGTTGGTTCGGATGACTGGGAGCGCGGGATCTTGCCCGTGTTCATCGCGTACCAATGATCGTCTCATCTCGCTACCGACCTTCCCCATCACAGATGGTGACAATGTCTACTGCGATGCGGACGTACGGCGCGCGCTGAGGTGGATGGAGCAAGTGTGTTGGCAAGACCCGCCTCGGGCTTGTGATATAAGGGGGAACGGGTTTGTCTTGATTGATCGTTTTGATTCCCTGACTCTAATATTGCCCTATACGGGATTAACGGTGTTGCCCTGGTCGGCTGCTCACGCCGCGTGGCGGCCGCGGTTTGATTGTCACCGGTGTCGCCAGGGGGACTCGTGTTCTTGGCGACGCTTGGTCCTGGGTTACGAGGGAGCGACACGTTTCCCCGAGCTCTCCCGTAATGCGGGGGCGCTGCCCGCGCAATTTCGAATTCGGATGCCGGCAAGTCCTCCCGCCGTTTCACCCTCTCGGAAACTTCCGCGCGGACTTTGCGAGTCCGACGCCGAGGCTTGAAGGCCTCAAACCAACCACCTCTACAGCAAAAACCCGATGGTCCGGTCACTTCGTGTGGCCGATGATGAGGCCGTAAGGCTTCGAATCCACCACCTATCCCCCAAACGGCCGGAGTTTCTGTCTTCCGCCGCCATGGCCCTCTCCCCTTAATGCCTTTTTCCGTCCTGATGCACGACGACAATTCGTTTTTGCGGAAACCCTTCTGATTTTATCATTTCGGAGTGATCCGACCCCCACGGGACTTCGCGACGACAGTTCGACTCCGGGGTAACCTCTGGCACGAAACGAGAGCCTCCCGTTCCATCCGGGAGACTCAACCCCTACGGCCAAAAATCCTCGGCCACGGCCCTCCTAGAACTCTGATCGGCGACCCAGTACGGGAAGCTGTGAGGGGGCGCGAGGTTGCGTATCACACGCACACCTGCAATCTGTCAAGTTTGCCAGGTCCTTTTTGAAGAAGGGGAAAGTGATTTGAATACATATCTCAGCCCTCACTTAATCCTGTTGTTGATACTTTTCGGCCCTACTTGTTCTCAAGGGTGCTTTCCTTAGCCTTGAAACGGAACAAAACAAAAAGGAGGTGACGGAAATGGAAAGAAAATGACTTTCTTAATTAAAAAAAGGAAAAAAAGAGGAAAAAGGACTATCTATATGGCAAACTAATTTGAATAAATACTGCCAGGAAACCTGTGCATGTCTTTGGCTCCTGCTTTGACCTGGTAAGCCCAAAAAGTTTTAACCTTTAAGGCTCGGTCCTCGTCGGGAAAACCAATAGGTTTGACAAATAAGCTTGCGGTGGTTTGAGGGGTGGGGGCATTCACCGACTGGCCTAGCTGATTTGGGGGGTGGGTACCCCCACAAACTAGGTTTGAAAAAATAAGTTTGGCATGGTTTGAAATGGAGACCTGAGTTTGAATTCCAACAGAATGAAATCAGTGAAAAGTTGAAAACAACTCAGAATTTGGCAATTTGCCTGGGGCTCGTCAGTTCGAAGATGATATCAGAAGGCTGTCGTGCTCTTGAAAGGGAAAAAAAAAAAGAAAGAGAAAGTACGAGGGAAAAAGCAAATAAGGAGGCGGGGCGATAACACATCACCTGCAGTCTCCCCCACGGCACTTTCTCCTCCCCTCAGATGCCAGCAGCCTGGCCAGCCACTGAGAGGGAGCATTTTGTGGGCAACCCTTTGAAGGTGCCCGCGAGCCCCTTCTTAATTTTCATTTCCCTAAAGGATTATCTTTGGAGATTTTAGAACACAGATATAGGTGGCGATTTGCATTGGGTTTTCCAGAAAATGAAAAACAGGCAAAAAAATAGTTTAAACCAAAGAAATTCTTTGAGTTCCCGGCTGGTGGGTGTGTGAGAAGAAAAAACAAAAAAAAGGTGGTGTATCGGGAGGGCGCTCTTAGACCTATATAATGACACACCCCAAATTTGGGCTTTCAGTTTTTCTCAGATATGCAGCTCATGTGCCTAAAAGTTGATGTTGCAGGTGACTGACTGTTGGGTACATGTGCCTTGAATGGTTCATCACAGGTTGAGAGTTCAAATTCCGTCCAGTTCGACCAGATGTCGAGGGCTCTCTCCCTGAAGCAAAAGGGTGTGGAATCTAGGCTACCAGCCGGGCCGCCCGGGTCACCCTATTTTCCCGGGCGGCCCGGCCGTGCAAGGACTAGGGAAGGTCCCAGCCAAAAAAAAAAAAAAAAATGTAAAAAATCCGAAAACAGACTATATTATGCAGAAAATAAACTGAACAACTTTTGCCTCAGGGTCACATCAAAATTCTTTACTAAATTTAAAACAAAAATTTAAATTAAAAAATAATTCTTATTTTTTATTTTTTTATTTCTTTTTGGCCCGGCCGGGCAAGTGGACCCGGGCCACTCTGGTAGCCTAGTGTGGAATTGGAAACCAGATTGTCAACATAGTTGTTGTTGTTGCATCTGCTGGCAGGTGCAATTATTATGTTTTCGAACGGCCGCGCTTCAAATGCACCAAATGTGCAAAATGAGAATGAATCCTCCACTAGAACATGGAAAGATTCGCCACCATATTTTTTTCAAATTTTGTGCATGTGGGGAGTAGTGGAGCGAGGCCCAAAGTATATGTGTTCGTTGGGTTGGCGACATTGATTTCGGACAATCAAGAATTGGAAGCCGCGAAGCTGTTTGTCAGCGTTGGTTCGCGGCTTCCTCGACATTGATTTTGGACAAAGTATATGTGTTCGTTGTGGGCTAAGGTCCCTCGTGGTTCGAGGTCATGCGCTTGATGGAGCGAGTGTGCGACACGTGCCTGGGTAGTGTTGTGTGTGTGTGTGTGTGTGTGTGTGTGGTGTAACATAAGGACTCTACAGCCATGCAGGGGTGGGGTGGATATCTGACCGGTAGGGTTCCACTTTTGTATACCGTGCCATGGCTGTAGTGGATAAGAAAAACCTGGCTCTTGAGGCTGAGGGCGCCGGTTCGAATCTGTGCATGCACGGAGGAGGTCCAAGGCTGGAAATAGTACTGACTTCGGCTGTATAATACTGTATGTACATACAGCCTGTTGATCGTCGTCATAAGTATTTGATGGAATCCAAAGGGATAAGAATTGGATTGTGAACGTTGTGGTGGAAAACATTAACGCTCGGGAAGCCATGGCTTGCAATTGGCAAGAAGTCGGGTTTTGGTAACCCTGCTTTTTTTCTTTGTCTAAATAAATAAATGTCGTCCTTGTTGGATTCAAGTCAGTCGTGTATGCCCATGATCATCTAATCGCTGCAGTACCGATGAAGGAATGTTACATGTACAGCTTGGTAGTGGTTAAGACTATCACAAAGTTACACAAACACATTGGCAGAATTAAGTGCCAGTTTGCCCAACAATTTACGTTAGTCTTACAGGAATGTAAGCATTGACATTGTATTGCCAAGATTGTAGTAGGGATTGATTCGGAATTCGAATCAAATGCGTTGTATAGCAGCTACAAGGTCACTCCTTCGCCGCACTGTCATGTCATAACACTTCACGCCCCGACAGTTGCATTTCATTATTTCCAGTATGTCTGCTTCTTTTGGCTGTCTAGTTAATGCAAATTGTTGTCTTCAGTAACCTTGACCTTCCGTTCTCTTCTCTCCCCCCCCTCCCCTCCGCCCCCCCCCTTCTCTCCCTATGCATGCGATGTGTGTACTACTGTGTATGTGTTGTCATTTTCGCTGTACACAACTCCAGAAAAAGAAGCATGACTGTGCCAGATCGTTTCTTCGGACTTTCATCAACTCGTCAGGATGTGTGTGGGTGTGGGTGTCTGCTGGATGGTGGTTGTTTTTGATGGTCAGGTGGCACAGTCATTTGTATGCAAGCATCAAAGTTTGCTGGAGTCGTCTAGGCCGAATACACGTGTGATTGTTTCCTCTCACAATTATCAATCAACGCCATCGTCAGAGGATCTTGCAACACTTGCCGCCAAAATTATCTCCACGGGGGCAGATATTGTGAAGATTGCTGTTATGGCCTCTACTATTACTGACACCAGCAGAGTGTTCGAGCTTCTGTCGCACGCACAGGTATACCTTCTTCTTGCTGCCCTACTGCTTACGTCTTTCATTCGTTTCACTTCTTTATCTTTTCTTTTGTTCTTTGTTCGTTTAGTCCCTGTCGAAAAAAAAAACCTGCATTTATCTTTCTACGTTTCTACCGCATCGTCTGAAGCTCGGAGCTACAGTGATACAAGTACTGAGTCCTCTGCAGAGATGAAGGATTAGCAGTGTGTCCTCACAAATGCTGCATCACATGTGCAAAAGAGATGTTCATCTGTCTGCTGGAGCCTTCTTTTTTCTTTGACCCTATCCCTTCCTTTTTAACAGACTGGGTCTGATTCTTGATATTCCGGGAAATCTTTACGTCTCTCTTGTTCTGCCTTGGAAAGTTTCAAGTCTGTCTGCCTTTTTTTTTTCCGTTTTGTTTTGTTTTTGTTTTTTTTTGTCGGTCCTCGTTCTTGAAAAAGTGTGTATGCCTCTTTGTCAGACACATTTGACCTCTGACCAAGCAAAGTAGAACAGGCAATCTTATTTGAATCCGACTTTCTATTTTTGACTGTCTCCTACTGAAAAGAATGGCCAAGGATTGCAGCACATTCCGGTCCTCCAACTCCAACCCCGAACTACCGTCGGCGACTGTGGGATTCCAGAGAGGGAAGAATGTGCAAGGAAAATGAGCGAAAGCGAATAACAGAAATCTAAATTGGATCATCACATTGGAAAGCAGATAGTCTTGTGTCACACAGAAAGCAGAATGCACCAAATATACACCAAGTAAGAGTGAAGCAATGAGCTCAAATGTCAATGTCAGCGCTTCTTGTCGCCACCATCGACAATGTATCCATCATCCCTCTCCTCAATTGGCACCTGGCGCCCAACCACAAACCAGCGACACATATTCTAGCCTACCAACTACAACGATGAAACCAGAAGACTTCAGCAGCAGAACTGATGCACGTGAAGATGTCGCCCATGTCGAACTCCACGACACACCAGGTACGTGTCCCTCTTCACTCACGCTCTCTCCCGATCTCCCACAGTCTGTCTCCCCCTCGCCAAGGAACCACCAATCACACCATCATCATCCCTCTCCTCAATTGGCACCTGGCGTCCAACCACAAACGAGCGACACCTATTCTAGCCTACCAACTACAATGATGAAACCAGAAGACTTCAGCAGCAGAACTGATGCACATGAAGATGTCGCCCATGCCAAACTCCACGACAGACCAGGTATGTGTCCCTCTTCACTCACTCTCTCTCCCGACCTCCACAGTCTGTCTCTCCCTCGCCAAGGAACCACTGATCACCCCACCAGCAACCAGCAAGCACAGCCCGGCTATGGCTGTCTTGCGTGCGGCCAGTGGCTGGCCAGCGCCTATCTCCAGCACTCATCGAAGCAGCGCTGCCGCATTGCCTCCGACCAGCCCAGTTGCTGGACTGGAAGCGGCCCTTTTCCTACATGGAAAAGTGGCTGCGGGGAGCGGGGCCCAGTAGCATCACGTCGGGCCACAGGATCTGTGCCCAGGCCCAGATTCAGATTCTGCCCTGGGACCGAATTGGTTAGCCTGGCTCAACTGTGTGACGTGGAGGGAGGTGTTCGCGGCTTCCCCATTGGCTGGAGCAGCGGTCACACACATTTCAGATCGCGGCTTCCCCATTGGCTGGAGCAGCGGTCACACACACTGGTGGTTCCTTGGCCAAGCATCCCGCAGGAAATGTGAGGGACTCGGGGTAGGGCTGTAGGGCCTCTGCGGGGCCCTATTCCAAAAAATATAGCTTAGCGAAAAAGAAAGAATGGTCAAGGATTGCAACAAAACAGGAGTGGAGGTAGGTGGGATCTCACGTGTGTCTGTTTTGATGGTTGCTTTTAACAATTACTCATGGTTGTTGCCTCGTTTCTGTGGTGTGTGGACAATCTGGCAGGTCCCAACGATTGCATTGAGCATGGGGGAGTATGGTCTCATATCTCGGCTGCTGGCGCCAAAGTTCGGTGGGTTCCTAACGTTTGGCTGTCTGGGTCAGGGCAAGGAGTCAGCACCAGGTCAGCCAACAGTGACTGAGCTGGTAGACATATACAGGCTCAGAAGCCAGGGGAGAGATACAAGGGTGTATGGACTTATTGGAAAGCCTGTCAGTCAGAGCAAAGGGCCTCTGATTCATAACGCAGCAATGGAGAAAAACGGGTTCAATGGAGTTTATGTGCCATTTCTGGTGGACAACGTGCCCGAATTCCTGGACGTGTTTGGATCGTCACCTGATTTTGGTGGCTTCAGGTGGGTAGGGCTCTCGTGAAGGGCTTGGCATTTGTCTCTGTTGCATGATGCTCGGGGTGATGGTGATAGTGATGGCCGTGTCAATGGCCAACAATGACAAACTGAATAAATGATGGTGTGAATCAAATCGAAAAGGGACGGAAGAAGGGAGGAAGGAAGTGAAAAGCGGAGGGATGGGTGTGTGGGGAAAGAAAAGAACGAAAGCAAGCCACAAATGAAGAAATGAATGAGCGAACGCAAAATAACAGCACACAAATGAAAGGACTGTGTGAAACTCATGCAGAGCGAACTGGCAAATGGTATGTAGGCTAGGAATGGATTAAGGGGAGGAGGAAGGGAGGGAGCATAGGGGTGTGGAAGGGAGGTGGGGAGGGAAGGAAGAAGGAATCAAAAAGAAAACAAAGGAAACAAGGAAGGAAATGGAAAGGAAGAAAGGTGCGGAGGGGCTGAGGAGAAAAGGATGGAAGGAGTGAGTAAAGCAGATAGAGCGGGAGAAGAGAAGGAGGAGGGAGGGAGGAAGGGAGGAAGGAAGGGGGGAGGAGAGGGAGGGAGGGAGGGAGGAAACGAGGAAGGAAGGGAGGCAGGGAGTGAGGGGAGAATGGAGTGATGGATGGAGGGAGAGAGGGAGGAATGGGGGGAGGGAGGGATGGAGGAATGGAGGGAGGGAGGGAGGGAGGAATGAGGGAAAAAAGAAGATGAACCAACGAATGAAATAAGGGGATGGATACTGGTTGATGGCTTATGATTGTGAGGGGAGGAAATGCACAAGTCTATGCCTGCACAAATGTACTCCAATATGCCTGACGGCGAGCTTTTTTCTTTGGTTATAAAACCCAGTCTTATGGGTGTAGCTCTGTTCCATTGTGAGGAGCCTCAGCCCTGTTCATCGTCTGCTGGTAAGCTGGAGAACATATTGAGCCTGAGAACCCTCACCAGCACCCTTGAGATGGAGCTGAGGAATTGTCCAAGGTTGAGAGTCAGATCAATGCCCAAGTCTGATGTGTGCTTGTGTCTTTGTTGAATCTTCACCCTGCTGTTTCCATCCCACTACTCACGGCTATTGCCACTAACTGTGCCTCCGGCTGCAACTCAAGGAACCATCAATGAGAGCAGAAGTTTTCCATCAGCGAAAGACTGCCTCACACGAGCCTCCCCAGAGCCCCGGCAGATTTTTGCTTGCCCGGCCTTCACTTAAGGCCAGGCCTGAAGCGTCACACAAACATTCAATCTTGAAAGAATGCTAGTCCCCAAGCCCATTATTGAGGCCTTGTTCCAGACTTTCACACCTCCTCTGGCAAGATAACCTCCCATGCGCATTTGCTGGAGTTTGGACGCCAGCGCAGTTTCGATTACTTCAAGCACCATTACCCTCTCCGTACATGAGGGGGACCTGCTTTCAGTGTGCAGGTTGGTCTGCCCGGGGTCTGATTCGTTTCTTCCCAGTAGTTGGGTACCTTGGCCGAGTCCGCTCTTAGGTACTGGTGGTTTAAACCACCACTGTATCCAAGGTGTCCTGTGTTCTGGCCAAGTGGCAAGGGAAGTGGAAAAAAGACCCCAGGTCAGGTGTGAGGAGGAGGCTTGTATGGGAGCAAAATCAACGGGGAGAACAGACAAAATAGTAATCTCTGGGGCTGTTTGGGGCATCCATTGTGTTTGAAAAATTGCCTCCTGGCCTTCCTTGATTGGCTGATGCTAGTTTGGAGGCCCAAGGCCTTGTCCTCCATAGAAGATGTTCAAGTGGCCCATAAAGTTGCAAGAGGTCTCAAGGCCCCGACGCTGATGCAATTACCAATGTGCTAAGTCGATTGAAAATCGAGTTTGGCCCATTGGACTGAAAAATAATCACAGAGGGGAGGAAACATAACATGCTAAGAACCGAGGAAGTAAAGTTCAATGTGTTGGCCGATAAGGGCAAGTTGTGTGTGTGTGTGTGTGTGTGTGTGTGTGTGTGTGTGTGTGTGTGTGAACATCCCCAAACTCTCTCTCTCTCATTCCATCCACATACCATCACAAGCCATCCATAAACACAAAAAGTATAGATGAGCAATATAATCGAAGGTGCAAGGCTCCCCACGTTTGTATGGTTGAGGGGGAAGTGCCCACACACCCGTCTGCCACCGAAGCGGCACACTTGCACAAATATATATATATATCGTCAAATAGAACTGCCCGGTAAACCGTAGGCAGAGAGGGAGAAGAGGACAACAAACGAGGGGCTGTGACAAACTGTTTCGTCGGAGTTTCACCGACTCATCAGGAGGCTGAACCCTCAACAGTCTATATATATATATAATATATATATATCTCGTTTGTTGTCCTCTTCTCCCTCTCTGCCTACGGTTTACCGGGCAGTTCTATTTGACGATATATATATATATATCCTCCTGATGAGTCGGTGAAACTCCTACGAAACAGTTTGTCACAGCCCCTCGTTTGTTCTCCTCTTCTCTCTCTCTGCCTACGGTTTACCGGGCAGTTCTATTTGTGCCACCTCTCTCTGCCGAGGGGGTGACAGATGAAGTGTAGAAGAAACAGATAAAAAAAGAAGCCGAGCAAAAAGATAAAAAAAGAAACCGAGGAAAGAAAAACACAAAAAAAGAAGCCTGAGAAAAAAGAAAAAAGAAAAAAGAAAAAAGAAAAAAGAAAAAAGAAAAAAGAAAAATATGTTCTGTGGGATGGTAATTGGATTATCTGTGGGATGTG